AGCAGCTCAGGGCGGGTTCAAGGCCGGGCGCTGGGGAGGGCCGAGCAAAGGCCAGCCAGACCCCTTCCCGCTCACTCCCTCGCTCCTCCCAGCGTCGTGGGGGCTGCAAGAGAGGGACGCGGTGACTCAGGGATACCCACTGCGCCCGGACCAAGGCCTCCGCCACCGACTCCTCACCCCGCGCCCCCGAGGCCTCTCAAATAACTTTTCGCTTGGTCTGAACTCTGGGCGGGGGTGCAGCGAGATTCTTTCGAAACCGGGAAGTCCTACACTGGGACAGGTCCTCGCCCGGCCGCGGGTTCCCCACCCAAGGCGACCCTCGCGTGCTGAAGTGAACGGGAACCGGCCGCGACTAAGCTGCCCTCGGCTTCTCCCAATGGCCGTCCGGATTGATCCCGGAGTCAGTGCGGAGCGAGGGGGGCCAGTCATCTGATCCCTGGAGGGGGCCGCTGAACAAAGAAATCTAAATATTCGTGTTTTGTTTTTTTTTAATCCAATTCTTCCCCCACGAACCTCCTCGCCGTGTCTGCCAAGGCAGGATGTTTCAAACTGCAGATTGAGAGCAGATTTCGTAGATGGCCAGAATAATTTTTAATAAAATGAAAAGAGTAACATAGTATGGAAAATTTATTGCAAGAAGAAAAAAAAAGTATTGTCTTATGAATCCTATGTTTCATGTATATTCAAAGTATAGTTTTCAAAAAGTTTAAAAACATGACTCTTGCAAGTATAAAATAAATACAGGGTCAAAGATCACATTCAACCCAGGAATGAAGGACCCAGCAGAACGGTACAGCTGGTTCTAACAGCATTTGAAAAATTGGTGATTTACAGGCAGCCAGAGAAGAAAGGGCCTATTAAGTTCAATTAGACTGACAGCTGAGTTGCTAGGTGTGGCTTTCTATTTATTTATTCAAGGGCTCCTAGTTTCTTGAATCTGTGACTGGATGTCTTTGATCAGTCTGGGGAGTTTCTCAGATATTCTATGTTCAAACATTGCTTCTCCCCATTTTTTTCTCCTTTCCTGGGACTTCAAACTGCTATATGTATGTTAGATCTCCCTGTACCCTTCCTCCCTCTTACCCTGTCTTGCGTATTTTTGTTCCTTTGTGTCTCTAGTTTGTTAATTCTCTCCCCCCAACTTCCCAGACATAGTCTCACTCTGTCACCCAGGCTAGAGTGCAGTGGTGGAATCTCCGCTCACCTCAACCTCTGCCTCCCAGTTCAAGCAATTCTCCTGTCTCAGCCTCCACAGTAGCTGGAATTACAGACGCCCGCCACCATGTCCGGCTAATTTTTGTATTTTTAGTAGAGATGGGGTTTTGCCATGTGTGCCAGGCTGGTCTCAAACTCCTGACCTCAGGTGATCTACCTACCTCGGCCTCCCAAAATGCTGGAATTACAGGTGTGGGCCACAGCACCCAGCCTAGACCATATTTTTCATTTGGTTTTTGGACAGGAAGGACAGGAGGCCATGCATTAAAAATGTGGTGGCACATGCCTATGATCCCAGCTACTTGGGGAGGCTGAGGCAGGAGAATC